GGAAGGAATGGCCATCTAGTAGAAGCAGATATCTTTTTTGACCAGCTTATTTCTTAATATGCTGATTGAAAACCCATTTTAATCACTTTAGTTCATATTCATCATTGCTTCAATCATTTATTGAAGCTGTAAAGTAGACCCATTTACTTTCATTATAATCATCTAGCCATGTATTCTGAAGATCTCACAATTCACTCTGGTAAATAAGAGCTGGAGATAGTGCAATTTCTTCAGCAGAGACTAAGCAGAGCAATGAGAGGAATTTCTGACTATCATTCTGGATAACAGCATTCTTTCCAGCTTGTAGAGCTTCAATAGAGACTAATCACTTTGAGACATGGCAGAAGTCTAGAAGAAATTCTTTTTTATCAAAGTTATAGATGTTTGAGAGCTTAAGATTATATTAATTAATTTTCTGCTCCAACTATTCTATAAGTAGTAGTCAAATAATTAGCCAGCATCAACAACTGCAATCATAAGTAATCAAATAAATCATTAAATTACAAGTATATAGAAGTACTTAAAGTACTGATAGTTATCTGCTATCTGTTTATTTTGATTAATTACTTTGAGATAAATGCATTTGATCTTGTCATTATACTGCTTACAAAATTAATTAATTCAGTTGATCCCAATATTCTCTCCTGTCATCTCTTGTATAATATTTTGTAGGATCTGAGATGTAATGGCAAGGCTGTGGCTAGAAAGCTTGTTTATATAATTCAGAAGCTCTGTCTTCTGTATATCAGAGAGCTTTTTCTTATATCAGAAGACTGCTTCATTCTGAGCAAGTTATAAGTCTTTATACTATCAGCACAGAGTCTCTCAGTTAACTGAGTACTTTCTTACAGTTGCAGTGTAATTTGGGGTCTCTTGCAATTCAAGATCTTCAATTGCAAGCCTAATTGAGGTGTTGTTGACCATGTTGTCACATATTGAATGTTGAATGTTGGAGGAATTTTGGTGGTGGAAGATTTGGCTTGTTTAGTGGTGTGGCTTGCTTAGTGGTGAACTACCTTAATAGAGCTGTCACTTTAAAGTCTTGTGGCGTTATCATCACTCATGCCACTTTGATCAGATGCTGAAGTTGTGTCTGTGTGATCTGAAGAATGGGAATTAAGCAGTAGCACATTACATATTGCTAAGTCTGGCTCTGTATATTCAAAAGCATCATTCTTCACTCCATTCTCATCTCTTGGGGGATATGCAAGGGTGCTCTTGCTAACCTTCGCGTTGCCAACAGTAGAGTAACATGCCCTTCCAACATGAGCACCACTCACCACTCTCTACTTTTGTTTTGCAGGTATGGCTGGTGAGCACTGTGTTAGCCCAAGAAGACTCCTTTAATATCAGACCCCGGGTTTAATGTTATCTCTTGTTTGTAGGAGTTGCACATACGCTATATGGCTATGCCCCTGGATGTGGCATTTGTGGGTATTAATCAAACCACCAATAGTTAAGCAGCCGGTCAACAAATGGTTGACTAGCGGTGGCTATCACAATTGAGGGTACAGGACCTGAAATGAAGTACTCTGCATTCCGTACAGGGCATTCCATATCCCATACAGGATCGGGTAATGGAGCAACATAGCTATTAGCCAGCAAGCATGAAGTCCATACACGTCAGGGTTCTCACTCCCCAATCATAGAAATTTCAAGACAGCACTACCGCAACTCCAGTGCCCAAACCCCCGGGGATTTCGTTTTTCCAAATAGGTGTGTACAAGCGCCTATAACATTTATAGTGTCTTTAACCAGGTGCTCGAAAGTGTCAGTCAGCCCTACTACTATTAGTTGCCCTATCAACTCCAGTGATGAAAGGGATACGGAGTACCCCGTACTCCATATAGAGTCCTATGACATACGCACTTGAGCTTCACAAGATCTTTTCTTCGCACGGAGTACATATATGATAAACAGCTATCAGCATAAAGCAGTGATATCATTTAGTCTGGGGTATCAAGGTCCATGAAATGGCCCAAATGCGGCTGTTGAATACTGGCATTAGATGCTCGCAGCCCGCAAGGCGAGCGGGAAGGCTGCGCGCAGCCTCAGGTCATACAGTTGCGTCCGACCTGTGCCCAAACCTGGCCTGACGCTAATGAGCTCGGTTGACAATTGGACTGTGGGGTACTGCACTCCGCCAGTCACGCACGGTTCAGCCCTGAAGAACGCCCAGTTCGTGAGTGAAGGAGTTAGTTATCAACTCTGCCGAATAACCACTCTACAAATCGCCCACAAGAATCTCGGCCTCAACGCCATGCTAGGAGTTTTAGCTGCCCTGCGGAGTACGGTGGACAGCCTGGCTGAAAGGTGACACTCGAAAACCCGGAATTTCTTCGCAAATCTGTCTGCAAGTATCGTAAGTAACCGCCACTCGCCCGAAGAGAAAGGCTGAAGCTATTCCCCCAGAGCAACTTCTAACGACGAGGGCATGCAGACACTGGCCCGAGGTCTGGACCTCAATTACGAATGCCGGGGCGGAACAATAATACTCCAGCTCACCACGTTGAACCTTGTTGACAAGCTTCTGAGAGGTCGGCTGAAGAAGCTCAAAAGAAGATGCTCTACTCCGTACTCCGTATGACAACTTCAAAAGGAGCCTTAAGAGATTCAGATATGGCAATTTGTTAAAATCGATAAGTCAACACGCCGAAACACTAATCCAATAGTGCGTATTGGATGAAATTTGGTATTCGCGAATATCGCCCAGCCCGCGAGCTTAGTCGGCCGTTATGGCGAAGCCAACGAAGCGAGCATCAAAGCAAACACCAATCAATCAAGGTGCAAAGCAGGCCGATAATTTTGAAACCCCGGCAGCTTTTACGCAAGCCCCATCCTCACTTACTCAATTCCTTGAAAATCTTTCACCCGAGCATGTCTACCTCATTCACCTAGATCGCCAGCCAAAACTCGAAAAGCACCAAATCTTTTTCGTCCCCCTTGTCCTGAATAGTGTTATACTCGCGCTCGTTATTTACAGAGTGTATATCGGCATATTCACATACCCGGATATCCTCATTGCGATCCTCGGCGGCGATAGCCCCGCGAGAATAGACCCCAAGGGATCTAGTTGGAGTCTGATATCAAGCGTGCTCGCCCAGCGAACATTCACATTCCTATTCGACTACCTTCTTATAGCACTCTTTCTTCCCTGGCCAGTACGATTTATCACCGGTCCCGTCCGATGGCGTCTGAAAGTCGGATTCCAACGCGTTGAAATCGTGGTGCGCAAGAGTCGTGCATGGAGCGAAACTTTGAGACGAACATGGATCCGGGACGACGACGGTGCGATGAAAGAGCGAATTATACCGGCCATCACGCCCATGCGGCTTCGAAAGACGGGATATTTGCTTATAGATGCGGATTGGGATCTTGATTTTCCGTCGATGACTCGGGCATATGAGGATGTCAAGACAGGCAAGCTTAATTTCGGAGATTTTGAAACATGTGTGATAGTCCACGGTGGTGGAAATAAAGGCTGGCTCATCTGGCGCGTGGAAGACCACGAGTTTGCCCATCGTTCCGATCCGTCTAGGGAATTAACTCCCTCGGAACGCGGTAAGATCGTCGCATTTAAAGATAAACTTACATCCATGGGGAAAGAGGATTTGTTTTTCCGCTGGGTAGAGATAATACAGTTTGAGAGCACGCAGCCGGGGGGTTTTACAGCTGAAAGGCAGCAGAAAGCCATGCTAGAGACGAAGGAGCTTTTCGAACAGCACGGAGTGGATTTTGAACAGTTCTGGTCTGAGGTTGGGGGTATGCAGGGCGTATCCTTATGAGTTTGAAAAAGAAGCAAGAGCATTAAGCGCATGTTCTATGGAGAACATAGACTTAGATTTTCATGTTGAATTTTCATGGATAGAAGAATAATCCTGTTACAAGCATTGTACCATGATCACTTCAGCCCCTGTTGAGCGCTTCTCCAAATTGCCAAAGAGAAAATCATATTGTTCACTTAGGAGTTGGCTTGCTCTCGTAGCAAATTTTTGCAATAATCCAAGTGATCGCTTCAACTGTTGACTAACTACTAAGATTTATGGTCCTTCACTCAAAGGCTCCATTCTAAAGAAAAAGAAAAAAAAAAAAAAGATCATAAGAAAATGGGGTATACATATCACAGATACCTTCATTGCTGTATCAATATTCAACAAACAAACCAACTAGAAAACGATATCAGCGCTAGAACGCAGCAAAGACGACGAATGTTGGAAATTGAGCCTCTCAAGTAACAAGCTACGCCAAAGCTTCGACCAACCAAAAAAAAAAAAAAAGAAAAAAGAAAAAGGGAAGGGGGGGAGGGGAACGTATGCAGTCATAAAGGTTCATCACATGTGTCATAAAGGATATACTTTAACGGAATATTCGTTTTGGCTGTATGGCAAGATTATTTTTCAGGACGATGCATGCTCTCCTACCCTCAGCCGGTTGTAGTGGAGGCTTGCGAATGAAATTGTCAAGATATGCGTTGTGCGTTGTCGAAGATTTTTTCGTTTTCCAGTTGAGTGTTTTAGACAGTATAAGCCGCGAACACTCAAAGCTCTATGGCCGACTTGATGGCGAAATGCAGCCGCAAACAGATATACAGTCAAACGGTCGACAGCTTGTACCTCATCGAACAGGAGTATGTCTCATTAGGTCTTCCATGTAGTAAACAAAACCAGTGGCATCTGCAGGAGGAACATATCAGTGCACACTCAAGGACTTGGAAACTACAAGACCTCAAGTTCAAATGGGAACGATTACGGATATTTGACTTACCTCCGTCTGTCGTGAACGTAAGAACATGCTTTCCATCCCGAGTTCGTGGCGGAATATACTCTTCCGAATCGATAAATGTTATACGCTGTAGTTCTGACAAATAAACTGTCTTCGGTCCTGTCCTTCGAAGCCAGGACTTTTTTCGAAAATAGGGATGTACAAATGCCGTCCAGACGGGCACTCTAATAGACCGAGGTCAGGACAACTTTGTCATGCGTAATAGGGTAATACATTATCTAGACGTACCGTTTTAAGTCGCCATCGAGGACCGTAGCTTGTAGCCTCACCGCTTTAGTTTCGTGGTCCCGGAATACCCTAAGAGCATGGGCGAAATTGTCGTCCACGATTTTCCTATTAACATCGATTAGGATATAAGTCCGAGCATGATTGAATTAGGAGCCCAAATGCACGCACCCAGCAAAAACCTCAAACTCGCCGCATAAATGATAGTCAGGAATATTCGAAATTGGTTTACTCGAGTCCTGCCCTCGAAGCGCAAGGAAAGTGCAAAAAAAAACAACCATCTCTGCAAAACTTGTTATCAAGCAGACCAAAAACGAGTGCGGGAATGGACATACTTTCGATGGAACTAAATTGAAGATTCGCCCACGCTATCATTTCATCCGGATCGGGACCTTTTTGACATAGTTGGAGGCAGGAACCCGAACGGTATATTTGTAGCGAAGTTATGGGTATGGTGGAATATACAGTGCGGCGCTTGGAACTCCGCACCCTGCATACAATTCTCGTTCGGTGGTCCTCCGCTCTTTGGTAAAATAACATAGTCAATTGTGGCTTTCCAGGAAACTCACTGGTCAGGGAGTCAGCATCAGAACGAAAAGATTCATACAACACTTCATAACATACAGATGAAATAAGGAGTAGTACTCCTGGGCCAGATGCTCCTTTACACCCGACATGATGGGACCGAAACATTTGGTACTGCGTACAGCCAATTAGCCGGGACAAGGAGAAGGAGGGGATTTTCGAATGGATACCCACATATCCCCCGTTTGGATCAATGATGTGGACGAATTCAGCTGCATACCGAATGCTCTTATGGACCAATGCCTAACTCCATTCTCTTCGTTTAGAGAAGAGGACGAGCTTGAGCTCACCGTTCTGGTGGCCGGTGAATCTGGGCCTGTGTAGGAGGAGATAGGGCTCTCTTCAGAAAATGAAGGCGACATTGGTGGTTGAGGCGGTGCGGGCGGCGGGGGCGGCGGGGGTGGTGGTGCTGCCGCTGCGCCCGATGAGGGCCTCTGGCGCTCCCATGAACCACGCTGTTCCATTTCTGGGAATCCCCGTGCGTTCTTGGACCGCCTTCTCAGGTCAGGTGTCCGAGGGCGACGGGTATCGGGAACTGGAGGCGGGGGAGGAGGTTCAGGATGTTGTTCGGCTGCGGAGAAGTAAGCACCAGGCATTTGAGGGGCGGGAGGTACCGGGTGCTGTTGCTGTCGTCGCTGTTGTTGTTGCTGTTGCTGCTGTTGTTGTCGTTGCTGATTAGCTATGCTGTCATTGTAGCGCTGGTCCTGAATTGCACGTAGGTCGGAGATGGCTTGACGCATCCTTGCCATCGACGCTACATCTATTTTCTCACTATTACTGTTGTTGATATTAGCCATGGCATTAGCGCTCGCGCAAAACTGCACTTATTTCATTAAAAATGGAACAAATGGAGTAAATCAAATCATGTGGCAAGGAGACTCGCTCTTTTACAATGAATTTCATCCCCTCCAACATCTGCTTGTAATATTGAAGCCGCAGTGGTAGCGTATACCCGGACTGGTAAAAGAAGAAATCCCACAGTAAGGACCATGTCTGCGGATAGGACTGCGAGACATCCAGGCCTCTCGCGGCCGCAGTCATCCGATTCAAAGCATCGTAGATATCCCGCAGTGTATGGCGAAGGCTAGCGTACACGAGTTGAAGATCATCGTTGATTAGGATGAAACGGGGTCGATGGATCGCCGAAGCTTGGAAGTTCGCCAGTATCCTGAGAGACGCACTGATAGAAAACAATTCGGAAACCACAGTCGCAAGATTCACGGAATGCGCTGGCACCGGCTTTATGAACTTGATGAGACTGGCCCCGATGTCCTCGGTATGAGGGGCAATTTCGAGCAAATTCATCCTGGCCGATTGGATGCCAAGCTCGGCATGATAGGACTGTGAAGAGACTGCAGGTGCGATAAACCTTTGTGCCGACTTGACTATCCGTTCACAGGATGTAGAACGGACTTGAGGGCGAGGGGTGAGCGGCGCGGTAGAGCTCAGGCGGCAAAGAAAGCAAATCTCAACTCAGTTAAGCCTCATCGAGACCGAAGCAAAAGAAGAAAACCCATGATTAGCATGTTTCTGCTAAAGATGAGGTTAGGTGAAAAGGCGGGAGACAGAAGCAACCGGCCCTCGCGAAAACAATGCGGGTCATTCTCCGCGCATTGGGCCTTTAACCTCCTAGCGTGTGGGTGGCAGAAGATGCAACGATGACTTGTCCGTGCGGCTCAATTGGATGATCCCGACGAAAGCGGGACACGCAGCGGCCAATGGACACCTGGCTTTATCAGTGAGAATCGAGGGCTAAGCGCCAGATTCGCTCCGATTCGAGTGAGGCGGTTATTTTTAGATTAATCTCTTGAGAAATGCCATTTCCAACGGCTTTTACCATCGTGGTAGAATTGGCTTTTGGATGCCTTTTGAAGACTGTCCTCATTTCTCAAATTCTCATCTTCTGCTCTGGAGTAACCTTTCAGAGTTGATACTTTGTGCAAAATATTGCTTTGTTCACGACAGTGCCCAAGAGAGAAACCTCCTCTGTTCGAGCCTACACACCCAAACGCTGAATTCCACATGGCGGAATGCCACGACATATATCTCGGCCCAAAGCACAAGGTTACGACTGATGACTGGGGGAGAGCAACAACCATGAACCGGATGACAGAGATGCAATTCTCACCACGTCCGCGGTTGACGTGGACAAATAAATTTGCTTCGCTGATATAATCCGGCAGCCATGCATGCTGCTCCATTGGCCGGACAGCCAAGTCGTGGAATAAAATCCTGTTATGGGGAACAGAAAGAACTTATGTGACTCATGCCAGCGTGTCGCGTCAGGGGCTATTTAAGTTTGATCAACTCCCATGTAAGTATAGTTCTCGGCGCAATCCTGGAAAAACCGAGAGGATTAGAGGAGAGAACAGGGCCATAACAATTGTATATTGCTAGTGTACAATATCGGTGTGTTTTGTATGGTGACCCTCCGCTGGTTGCAGTTACTTGACCTTGACCCTCGGGACGAATTCGATAGCAATCGATCAATCTCCTCTTGAGAAAGCTGGCAGACAGAAAGAAAACGAGAGGCGTCAACGATCAGTCTTCCCGCTTGGCACAGGCTGCGAATCGTAACAGACTTAGAAAAACCATTGGAAATCCGGTGACCTTCCCTTTTACTGACCTGCAAGCAACAACAAAACAGAAAAGAACATGTTAAAAACTCTGAAGGGAAAAAAAGAAAAGATATATATGAACCACCGTCAATACCGTCCCATAAACCATTTGAAACGCGCGGAAACGAAAACCAAACAATGCGAAAGACAAGAAACGCCGGCACGACCCTAGATCAACTTCGTCATGTCCTAAAAGCTATCTAGGCGGATTCCTCATCGTCCTCATGGGCCTGGAGAGGCTAGTCAGCGCGTGTCCAGTGGCGCGGAGACCGTCGAGATGCTGCTTACATTGTAGTTGGCTTTCTCGTCTTCATACCGCTTCTTGTCGGCTGCAGCCTTCTCCTCGTAGGGAGCACGCTGCTTATCGCTCAGTGCCTTCCAGCGTTCTCCAAGGAGCTTTCCGACTTGACCTACACGAGCAAATTAGAAGACGCCTTAGGCAGGGACGTTGATCGACGGCAAGGGTCATACCAAAGGAGATACCAGGATTCTCCTCGCGAACATTTTCACGTTGCTCATTGGCGAAGAACATGTAGGCCGACAGTCCACGCTTGGGCGCGTTGGGGTCTGAGTATGGGTGGTCGACATTAGCATCCCATCGCAGCACCACTAGCTTTTTGAGGGTGTGGAGGGCGAAATCATACCCTTCTTCTTCTTCTCGGCGCGGCGACCCTTGGTCTGACGGGTGCTCTTCTCCTTAGGCATTCTGGCTGGTCCTTGATGGCTGTGTCGGGGTGTTAGTCGCGCCTTTGCACTCTGAGCAATTGATGACTCAATCGCGTGAAGAACAAGGCAAAAATCAACTTGCAGATAGTGCTAGGAGCAATGATGCAGAAGATACATAGAACAGGTGAATAAACACGTGTTGATGCTGAGGATTGTGAGGTTAAGTGAAGCAGTTGGGCAGTATCGCATCATGCCAAAACACCGCGACCACAGAGGTGGCGAGGATGGAGAACAGCATCGCTCATCCAGAAACAGAGTCGCGACACTTCAGTTGGAACATGTATATTTGTGTTGATGTCGACCATGGAGGAACCATAAGTGTAGTAGGTGATAGGCAGGGCAATAGCATGCTTTGGGTGAAATATCGCTGTAAACACAAGGCGACAGCAAGGAAAACAAAACAGTGGCAAAAGGACAGGATGAAAGATGCAAAGTGCTGAGAGAGGATGTGTGACTGTGAATGGTTGGGTATGTGTTGAATAAATTGTGAGAGAGAAGCAAAATGGAAGGGGAACCAACTTACTGAGAATATGCAGTACCTTTTTTTGTATGGGGAATTTATTATGTGGAGGGGAATGAGGATAGCAGAGAGAATTGTATGGCAGCAAAATTTGGTGGGAGAGGTTGGGTGAGAGGAAAATATGTGAGGGAGAAGGGAGAGGGAGGGAAGGGAGCGAGCAGCCTTCCTGACACCTGGGTTGGACTGGGCTACGCAAGCCAGATCAAAGGAGGGGTGGCAGTGGCAGTGGCAGAACCAAACCGGAACATGGATCACTGGAAATTTTACTGTTAATTACACCCTACCCATACTTCGCATCTCAGTAAACAAGGTATTCATGTGCGTGTTGATATCAGCACATCCGTGTGCCTTTCCCAGTCCCGGAAATCATCCTGCTACCATTCCCGCTGTGTTATGGCGCGGTAACTTACTCCATCCTGCATCCAAGGCACTACAGCAACATTTGCTTGTATGTATGCATGTAGCTATTCTGCATATACAACAAACCAATACAGCCTGTGAAAAGATCAATAAGTAAATAAAAACTCTGGGTGTACAGAGCATGGAGGAGAGGACCACACATACATACAACTATGTCAGTACAGTCTAATGTCTTAAAGGCAAAAAGGGACACTCCATACTCCGTACTCTGGGGAAGACCACATTTCCGTTTGCGGTCTAGCGTAACTATTCGGGTAAAGTGCTCCTCCGGCTAGCCGGTAGAAAATAGGAGGGACGGATAGCCAAGTCCTTTTATTTCAAACGGGCTGCTGAGTGTAGGATGAGTGAAGCCCATGACGCCCTGGAGTTTCAACCTTGCAACTCCTCGACAACGGTATATATGACACAGCAAGTTGGTTCTCATGTCGGTAATTGATTGCCTATAAATATCATCATCATAATCTGTACGGAGTACGGAGGGTGGTATTGTGACCTGTCGAAGATAACTTTGTTTCCCTCCTTGCCCCATCGCAATACAACCTCCCAGTCCGACGGAAATTAAGAATTAATGGAGGAATAAACACTCGAGCAACACCCACCTGTGTGAAGGTGACAAAAATCAAAACTTTTAGTCTTAACTGGGAATTGTTCAAGGCAGGGAAAATTGTGCGGTGATGGTCAACTGCTCCGTGTTCGTGGGCTACTCCTGATGTAATTCACTCTCTGTAAAGCAGAATAATGACCTGCCATGGTGCACCGAGAGGCTGCGTCTTGACTGTGTATGTGTACATACATACGGGGTACAGGACGTAATTACCATCTGTCATTTATCGCTCCTGTTCCGTCCGGCGGCCTTCTCACGGCAAGTGGGATCCTGATAAGCTCGGAGGAAAATTACGCGTTTTAAGCAAGGCTCTGTATTTTCTGTTTTTTTTGTGACGGGAAGTGATGGGGTGAAGCCAGGTGTGTTGGATCTTTACTTCCAAGTTCCAAAATAAAAGAGTACGGATTGTTCTGTCCAATGCGCATCCATGTTCTCCGTACAGCAGAGGCTATCCCATGCACTGACGAAGGTATACATACACCACCCCTTGAACAGACACTCGAAGACATGCACCCTTACCGTACAGTGCCGAGGGGTAAAAGAGGGTGTTATGTACAGGCTGCTTCTGAGTGACTTCCTTTATTGTATTTGGGTATGAACGGAGACCTTTCGTAGGGAGCCATGGTTCATCTCTCTTCCGTACGGTGTAAGGAGTACATAGTTACCAGGTACTTTGTATTGAGGTCCCTGTACGGAGTAACTGAAGTAACAACTCTAAGGAGTACTCCGTAACCCTGATAAAGTTTCGCTCCGGAGAGACCACCGCAATCCTTGCTACAGATGGAGCAAAAACTCTGGAACCTCCTCACTCCACCACTATTGCCGTCTCTCGGCTGAAGAGCATCGCGCTGGTATGGTTGAACGGCCAATGAGCCCGGTGATTTCATCCTGTATTCTCTGGGTTTTGTGCGACCCACTGTTTGACACCTTTTTTTAGCAGCTTGGTCAAAAGTGAACCATGTGTGGATGGATTTGATTTTACAGAGCGACCCGGGCGTGACGCCTAATTTGATACCGCCAGCGGTGGCCTTCAGTAGATTTTATGTGGCCCCCTCGTTCCTGGTAGAGCCTCATCCTAGCTCTATCAGAACTGTATGGCATCAACATAGAAACATGACCAAACATATAAATAGCGCCGTGCTGCTGCGTGTTGAAATTTTAACCCATTAATAGCTGGCTTAAGATTCGAAAGTAGGCGATTAGCCAGCTCAAGACCAGTCGGCACACGGGTCTCGGAAGCAGAGCAGCACCGTTGCTTCTAGGTTATTTTATTAGGTAGTCCATGCACGATATGATGCGTGTTGATCGACATCCACAGGTCTTGTGGTCCCAGATAATTACTAATTATGGAGTACTACGGACTCCGTAGTGGATATTGTAACATTTGGCAGCGCATATCTGCTGCAATAGCCATTACGTTCATCATATATCTTCAAGCTGTTGTTTATCCGCTATGTTCTTGGTGATTTCTCAATGCTCAAATTGTGTACTCTTGACCTCAGACTTTCCTGTTCGGAGCCATGAAGCTGAAACGATGGATGCAATCTCATTGTACCTGTCCTGGCAATCCCTCCTAAGAGCGTCTATATTCAACACAGCACAACGGTCACTTTTACTCATCTGAGTTGATTGGATACCGCGGGGCTGGGGAATGCAAGAAACACAGCTGCACAGTTTATTGAATGCATGCCAACCAAATACCAGCCCCCATTATCACTAGGAGCAGTTCAGTGCGCTGTTTAAAGCTGTCCCTCAATCAAGCAGGCTAGACCATTTTTGGGCCTCATCACAGTGTCTACTGCCGCGGCAGGATTGACTAGTAAGCGCCAGAGGTAGTCCCTGGTCTCTTAGTGGTTCATGGAAATGAGTTCACCCCGGTCTCATTCTGTGAATAGGAATGTTGACCCTATAGAACTGAAACAATGTGCCTCAGGTTCCTTTCCGCCATTGTGTTGTCAACCATTGGCGATCACTTGTTTAGGATGGCTCTGATTAAACTTCTTTATGAGTTGACAATACCAATATAGTCCTCTGTTTCGCAACTCAACCCCAAAATGATTTGTCTTGATATTTTTGTACGCGCCGGCCTTTTTCCTACGGCACACTCATATACCACTTTATTCAATCACCCGTCAGTACCCACAGCGCGGCGTCTTCAGGGCTTTGGCTACAGCTCGTCTTATCAAACTACTTGAGGGATGGAGGCCAGAAAGATGCCTGATAGTTGTTGTTCTTCCATCGTGGGTAATTTCGAAGCATTGCGAGTTCTCAAATGGAAGGTATAAAAACAGCCCTGATATTTGGCAAAAAGGGGAATTTGAGCAGCTCAACTCACCAATCAACCATTGAACAACCAAAGATAAACCCATCCCAATACACCTTATTTTCCTGTTTTGTCCCTAGCCTTCAACTGATATCGGGATGGCTTCCTGTACTGTTTACCTGGCCACTTGCCGAAATGCCCCCAGTCAACGCAAGCACTTTGGCATTTTTGTTCCTTTCGCCGATGACCCCCAGATATGCACTATTATTCACGTCGTGGGTGCCCCGATGGTTGGATATGAACTGCAGTTCAAACGGAACTATAACCTGTCAAGCAGTCAATTGTCTTATCAACTTGTTCCCATCGGCCAAGTGTCCGCAGCCAACATTGTCGAATCCCCTAGTGGGCTGATGACAATTGATAGCAATGCGAAAGGCATCATGGAAACCGTGGCAACACAAGTGCCGCCGCCTCCAATCAGCCAGAATTTCTTGGCGCCTGTTGACGGTGTTTGTAGACCATTTCCTGATTGTGACACCCAAACTTACACTGACGGATATGTTGGTCTAGGTGTTCAACAAGAGATGTCAGGAGTGGACTGTCGAATATGTCGATCGGCTGATCTCCAGAAATATCATCGACGCCGGGGCTCGCAATGTCGTGCAGGCCCATCGCGATCCTCCTGACCATGGAGTTGGCCTGCAGTCTGTTGACAGGGGTAGGGGCCGTGGTGTCTGAGGCATGGGTCATTATCATGTCTATAGTTGCACCGAGAATATCATGTCAAAAAGGATCTATGGTACCATATTTTCCTATCTTTCGCCTTTATTACAATGATGTTCAAGTTGTGTTATGTTCTGCTATTGACAATGTAAGTAAGCATTACAGTAGAGCAATGTGTCAGTTGATATATATAATCAAACATGATAGGCGGCTGAAGATCATTAAACAGTCCACAGACCATGCGTTGATACGTGGTGTAGAGGAAGAGATGATTCGATCCAGTCAAGCTTCTCTTAACGTATTGCAGGCACAAAGGTCAATGGACTTAGCCCTATTCATAGAACAACGGCTCTACTTGTGGATAATTGCTAAATTGCACCCATAAAGTGGACGTACTCCCCAAACACATTATGCTCATCATGATAGGGGATCAAGAACATCGGCATGTAGCGAAGTCGCCATTCTCCCTCGTAGTCCGAGGTATAACATGCCTTGCACCACGCCCAATATTCGGGATACCAACCGGCCTGTTCCCAGTCAATTATCGCAACAATTTGAGGAGGCAGGGTTTTGGAGACAATGATATTGTGCCTGTGAAGATCCGCATGCGTGAATTTGATAGCGACTGCATCTGACAAGTAAGCCCTGTATGGATCTTCAACCTGGTTTGGATCAGGCAAATTACGGCGGGGTATCCAAGATATCCAGTCGTGAAGTTCATTGACAGTCTTAAAAGGACCCGTCGACCAATCTCTGAAAATGTAGTCAAGAACGCGATTGCCGCTAATAGAGCCTAAAATAATGACCAGAAAGGTATGTTTTGCCTATTTCTCTTGTGTCTCGTACCGATGAATGGATGGGCGGGATCTTGTCTCAATTCTCGCAATGACGAGATCATTCCATACAGTTGTGCGCAGACTGCCGTTTTGTCTGCGTCGCTGAAGGAACCCCACTTGTCATGCAACAGAGCACCCTGAATCTTTTGCATGTAAATAAAGACGACATCACCTTCGACCCGCCAACCGTATAGTTCTGGAACAGGGACCCTGTCTCCGAACAGTTTTCGGATGGCCCAGATGCACTGGACCTCCACAACAGACACACACTGACCAAATTTGACTAGGAGACCCAGCTGATTGAACGAAACAGGCGACGGGCGGTAGAATGTTTTGTCTGCATGATTGCAGCGCTCTTTCACTTGTTCAGGAGTCGGCAGGCTGACATGTTTTTTGAAGTATGACGAGTCGCGGAAGTCCATATGCGAGACGCTTGCATCAGGGAGATGCGCCGCGAGTAGTGTTGCTTGAGCAGCAGCTTCCAGTGGCTTTGCACTTGGTAATGATGTACCGTTATCCATGCTTTAGTTCGGAACCGTCTCCGTGTCTCGTTTGGCGATGAATGTTGTCGTGCTCTGCTTCGATGCCCTAGGGACAAGAGCACCCCGTCTCACTACTCGCGAGCCAATTAGCTCATAGGGAGGATAGTCAGTTATGTAGTGAGCATTCTCTATCCTGTGGGCTCTGAAAGAACTGCAGGGCATGGAGGTGTAGAATAATTAGGCTATGTGATCAGGATGCCTTCATATTCATGGAGAATGGACTCAGGAGGGCCCTTGGAAGACATTCAAATGGCTTGCTCACAAGGGGTCAAGAGATGTATCTGAGTGCCTCTTAGAGCGAAGTAAACCTAACTCCATACAAAAGCTACAGGAAGATATGGATACAACAAGATACCTTTTTAGCACGAGGCCTAGATTGAGCGTGAAGGCAAGCTGCTTTAACTAATCTGACTTTAGAGAAAGCTCACCTCCTGACGGATATGTTCCAATGCAGAGTTTTTTCCTTCTCATTTAAGCTGTAAGCCCTTAGATGCAAGCAATTGAGTGAGAGCATTTAAATTAATCAATTTTATGATTTCTAGAGATTTCATGCATGCATAGTAGGCTAGCTAGTCTGAAGAGATTCTGAGCAGTGAGATCTTCTTAAGAAATCTTTGAATTTATTTTACTTCTCAAATAAGGCAAATCTTGTTCTGAAAAGAGTGGTATCTGTTACCAGCTAGCTGAGAGTACTCGACTTGGGGGTTGGTCTATGACTGGTGACTTGGAAACCTTCCGAAAGGGGTCATCCGCACATCGGAATGCGGGATTGGGCAAAAGAACAGAGAGATGAGTTTATTAAAGCTGCAAACAAGAGACACACACTGTTTCAATCCCAAAATCTCATTACATCTGAACGCGAGATGACCTCGGAGTTTACAACTGCTCTGGACGACTCTGATACATCAAATGTGTCCAATGATTCTGACTTTCATGGTGCACATTGGAGCTTTGCACACCCAGGAGACACTGCAAAGGAGGGATCCCAACTTTTGAGGGAAACTCAAAAGAAACCAAGAACCTATACCAACTTAGATGACAGTGTCGGTAACAAATCACTCCACAGTTGAGGCTCTAAGACAATCAAGCTCCCCTTTTTACCGCGACCCGGCTCAGCTGCTATGTGTATGAAGAGATGATAATCTTTGTGGATAAGGGTCTCATTATGGCTCTTCATCTTTGTTACCTTTTCTATCAATGTCTCCACAATTTTCTCCTCTAGCTTGTCTGTCTGGCTACCTTGATATCCAGAAAGCATTACCCCTTATTTTCAGGCGCTTTCCCATCATGCTGAGCACAACATGAGGTGCAGAGGACCCTGGATTTGCAAACCAGTACTCTCCGACCAACCTTCAACATTGTCAATGATGGAATATTCTGTGTTTAGAACTGTGAAGCACCTCCCCAAAGCCCGTTTCCGTGAAAAGTCGGTAAGTCTGTTTATCAATTTCGGCGCCGAACGGTGTCTCCAGAGCATTGGCACCAACCAACTTGCCGGAAAGACCAAGCAGCTCCGAGTTGGTCAGAACCACTATAACACTGCGTGTTTTCGGGATCAGAGTCGAAAATGATGTGAATCCCTGGCTAGTTCCCTGGTTGTAAGAGCGAGTTTACATGTAGATTAGCTTCCGACGATGGAATTCCAGGGTCTTGGGCCTGCAAAATCAAGAACGGAGCGAAGTTGTGTGCGAACCCATTCGAGCACGTAGCTATGTTCCCTGAAGCAGGGAAAAGGCATGCTGATCATGCCCGTCCGTATGGTTTTACTCTTGATGGAGATCTTTCGAATTTCAGATGGGTCAGGGAGTGCGGAGTATATGCTGCATTTCGTCCAATAAAAAAAATAATTGTTACATATCTGTCCGCTACTCACTCCTACATGACATGACTTCACCGTACATGATATATGTATATCACAGCCTAGAAAATCGATCGTAGATGGAACGACACGAGCGAGCGCGCGACTTGCGAGCTGCCAGGCCTTTATCCCACGCTGGCCTGTTAAAAGCCCTGTTGGACCGATTACATACTCCATACATCTTAAATCTTTGCAGGCGATCCTTGGTTCGCCGCATAGTTATTTAAGCGGAAGAGCTGTAAGTTCTTACAACTCGTCCGCCGACTCATCCTCCACGACCAGTGTTAAGAGTTTCTCGTCGCTTGCCCAGTCAAGTCCACTCGCAACTATAACAGCGCTTACGATTCTCTTCATCGTCATATACTCGTCCCTTCTATTCTTGTTTTCTCTCTTTAGGGTCTCGAGTTCTTCTTTCGACTTCAGATCCTTGATCTCTTCCTCCTCAGCGTTGCCGTCTGTAAGCTCAAGGAGCGACCTGACCAAGTCACGATTGTCCTTCACTGCCCGGATATTGCTCACCTCCGCGTTGGAGAGATTCTCCACGCACGAGTTATTGACACCAGCCAGGTTTTCGTATACCAGTGAGAGAACATCCCGCCGGTTGATAAGCGGAAGCAAGACTCTGTCGACGTTAGCATTTCCTTGAAATGCGAACTTCTATCAAGACTTACCTTTCAGTCGGAGAAGCATGCGCAGAGTAGATAGACTGAACACTTGGCTCTGTCATTAAAACAGATTCGATAGCTTTCCTTCGTACAGAATAGGCCGCTCTGGCTTCTAGCAGCTCCCGCTCTGCTTTGACCAATTCTGCATCGACATCTTCCACCAGAGAGACATCCACAGGATCTGGTCATACAGTAATAGTCAGCGGAGTTTACGTTCGTATCCACCGTTGTTCATCCAAACCTGGGCGAATAGCCGGATAGTGCTTTACAGACCTTGCAAGAAAAGAGCTTCTTCAAGCTGCTGGTCATAGATCCGATCGTAGAGGCTCAAAATCTCCAGCTCCTTCTCCCTTAAAGGCGGGTCATCCCCGGGGATATCGGAGGCTAGCTCTACGAGAGCACGTTCATTAGGCTTCAGCAGTGACTGAGAGCCGTTTAGCTCCGCTTTGCCTGGTGCCATGGGAGCCGTATCCGTTGATCCAAACAAAGCATCTTGTGATTCACCTTGAGAAGCCGGGTATTTATGACAACGTCGCTCCCATCGTTTTTTGCTCTGCACACGAGGGGAGGAAAAGCCTATTTTCGCACGCGAAACAAACTGACGCTGCCAGCCATCTGTTGGGCGGATCAACTGACTGCAGCGCGAGGAAAAACAGCAGCAGGCGTTTTGCGCGTGGGCCGTCCAACCCAGAAAGGGACTAGCTCCACCGACGGCCGACGGCTCGACAAGTCATTGGGTGACCTCAAGGCCCAGAACCATGCCAATCCGTCACCGGCATCTGTGTGCTGCCCATCCCCAGCACTCTTCCAAACACTCGGGCGTGGCATGGTCTGTCGTGGACATCCCATCCGTGGAAATAATGCCATTGCACATCTATATAGCTCACACCGGCGAGCAGCTCTTCGCTGATCCGGTATCATTTGCCTCGTAAGTGCCTCCCCCAGCTTTGACCGCCGCAACGAGTCGTCGCCCCGTTGATTGCTCGCCTCGCTGTGAACATGACCTAACAACTTGAGATGCACCTAGTCCGGACGCCTTGCGAGCATGGATATCTCGAAATACGTCCATTCCGCCCCAAAGGCAGATCCTAATGACTGCCCGCGGCAAAAACGTGAAGCTCCAAAGTCTCGCCACGGAAGTATGTACCGCCTGACTGTTGTTGTACCATACCGTCGCCGGGTGTAGATGGCTGACGATTGTAGAATGAAATATATGTATATGATAGACAATTTGTGAGCGAACAAGGCGCCGGTGGACTTCCAGAGCTACCGTCCCCCGAACCATTCCATCCCGAAAATCCTCCCGATACTCTCGCGAACCAGAACAGTCTACAAGCATGGAAGAACCTCTACATGGCGCGTAGGACATGGGCCTTGGACCTCACCACAAAATGCACCCAAATTGCCAAATCCATCGATTTGAATAATGAGAGAACCGGTGTCATCTATCAGAGTGTTGGCGTGGCTTTAGAGAACTTGAAGTCTCACGTCGGCAACCTTGAACAGAAGCTTCAAGAGGCACAGACTTGGGCGAACGATCTTTTAAAGGAACAGCAACTTGCATTGGGCGGCTGGCAACGCAGCCTCGTTGATCTCGAAACTATCCCGGCCAAAAAACAGTTTCCATTCTTACGGAGGTCGTCAACTACTAAGAAAGCAGCGGATGGCGTGAATGGGACGTTAAGCGATTATGTTGATGCGGAGCAAACGACGCGCGCGGCATCCCAGGTTTCGACACTCTCGACGAAGTTCTCCCGTCGCATGGATGAAATTGAAAAGGCGGTGGGAGATGTGGCTTACCAAACTGGGACCTTAATACAAGACGCCCAGCCCCCTCCGATGGAGAATTCTAGTGGCCCCTTGGAAGAAATCGAAACCATCTCTAAGAAGATTAGTTCCGATTACGAGCACGTCCTTGGCCTCCCTAGCACTGCGAAGACGCTTTCGAGCATATCCCGAATGGCGCTAAACCATACCGAAGACCTTTTACCATCCATGGTAGAAATATCCCTAGAAATGCAGAACGGCTTAATTCAAGCAGTGAGAAACCGAAATCTTGCCATGAAGATGTCGGTGCGGCAAATGCAAAGGATATCTGCTATAGAGTCACGCCTTGCAAGCGTACAAGCCGAAATAGCAAATTTGGATATTGATGGAGATTCTTTTGATGTCCTTTGCATGGTATTCCATATCCCTGTTGTTTACGGGTCTGTCCTTATTGAAGCGGTACGGCGCCGTGAATGGTCTGAGAAGATGAAAATAGACTCATCGACCTTGGCCGAGGAACTAGCGATCTTTCGAGATGAAGAACAGCGTCGAAGGAAGAAGTGGATAAAGAGTATGGGAGACTTCGTTGCTGTTACAGAAGACGGAACGCCTGGGGTAGAAGTCAACTTGCAGAACGGAAAGGGCCCTGAGTGGCCCCAGGTGTCTCGCGCCGATATAGAATCGTACCTCCAGGATATCAAAGGAAAGGACGGAATGGAGCTCACGGTCCAAGAATTGACACAACTTTACAAAGAGTTGGATGCGCCTACAAGACAACAGAGACGAAGGGCAAAGGCCTTCAAGCATGGCAGTGTCATCGATATGGGTCGCAGCTCCCTCCTAATGCGCGGGGACGAGATGGTACGTAGCCTGAGGGAAGAGAAGATCAAGCTTGAGGAAAAGCTGAAAGGATCTGAAAGCCGTGTTCGAAGGCTTGAGGACCTTCTTCACCGCTCAAGTCAACTGAGTCGGCCTGCCAGCGGGCACTTTGCAACAGATGTACCCATGTCTCCAGCGTCACCACATCCAGATCCCGTATCAAGAAGATCCTCCATATCTTCACGACGGATGTCGTCTAACCACCCACCAGAAGACAAGACCCTAGCCCAACGAATTATGGGATTGGAAGCCGAGTTGGCTACAGAACGGGAAAACATTGCTAAGCTTCAGCGCGAGGCTCACGAGGAACGTCAGTCCACCGTTGACAAGATGGAAGAAGTGCAGTCCACAAAGAAAGACCTAATGCACAACCTAGAATCCAAGCAACGGGAGTTCGAGAGTGAGCGCAAGTTCCTTGAGTCAGAAGCAAATAAGCTGAAAATCAGACTTGAAGAGATGGAGGAGGAGCTTGACAGGGCAATGGACAGCCGGGATCAGGAAAAGCACGAAGCTGAAGAGAAGATCGAGCAGCTCCAATCGAAGCTAGATAAGGCTCTGGTAGCCGTTGAAGAAGCGGAGAGGCTTCGAACACAGATCCAGAATCAACACTCCGAATCATCGAAATTTGACGCTGAAAAGAAGGAGCTATTAGATCGCATCGAAAAGATGGATAAGGTCCAGGAAGACCACGTCGGTCTGTTGCGGGCTGTCCATCTTCAACTTTCTCCCAGCGGAGCTCCTCCGACAGACTTTCCCCAACTTGTCAAGGCAATTGATGTTCTTTCGGAGGGTCTTGCTATACATGCCAGGGGCTCAGATAAGAAAGCAGCGGACCTCGCTGAAGAAAATCAAGTGCTATTAGAGAAAGTGTCCCAGATTGAATCTGAGGTTGAAAGGCTCAATCAAAAACTTGAGTCAGAAAAGTTGGCAAAGAAACGTGCGCTGGAACTGTTAGATCACGAGAAACTGAGTCACCAAGGAGTTCAATCTGAGCTGAAGGAAGAGCGTAAACGGCTGAGAACACTGGAGTCCAAACTGGCGGCCGGAGAGACTCGGACGGAGGTATTAAAAGAACGGATTGCTGAAGAGGAGAAGAAAGTTTCTACACTTATAGAAAAACTTGCCAATGTCGACTCAAAGACCTATTTTTTTGAAGAGGAACGGTTGGAATGGAAGCGCAACCTGGAGAAGCTCGAAGAAACGGAAAGAAATTATAAGTCGTATCTTTCGGCGAAGAGCGTGTGGGCCAGCGATATCTCCAAGAGACTCTCTGCTCATATTGAGTTGATGGCGAAGATGCTCCAGCAATTAGGCTTTACGATTGTTTTTCAGAATGAAGAGATGACGATCCAGCGAACATCGAAGGTGACTGGAAGCTCTATTCTTGCGGACAGCGTCGTGTCATCTTCTGGGTTCCTACCGTCGATTGAAATTCCGCAGCTTTTATTGTGGGCTCACTCTGCCAATAGGGAAGAAGAATCGTCAAAGTATAATGCATTTATGGCAGCCATCGACAAATTCGATCTCGACACCTTCGCTGAGACTATTGTCAAACGTGTCAAGGATATCGAGACCGTTGCTCGAAAATGGCAAAAGGAGGCCCGCTCTTCGCGCGAAAAATACCACCGTGCGCAAAATGATGCTCATGAAAAAATAGCATATCGTTCATTCAAAGAAGGCGACCTGGCTTTGTTTTTGCCAACGCGCAACCAGGCAATCAGGTCGTGGGCTGCCTTTAATGTTGGCGCTCCACACTACTTTCTTAGGGAGCAAGATGTGCATAGATTACACACTCGTGACTGGCTTCTTGCACGAATTTCGAAAATTGAAGAGAGGGTTGTCGACCTCTCGAAAACTCTGAATGGTATCAATCAGGACAAGCGTTCCATTGACGCAAGCGATGGTGCATCCATCGAAGACGACAATCCATTCGAGCTGTCCGATGGTCTACGATGGTATTTGCTCGAGGCATCCGAAGAAAAGCCCCGTGCTCCTAGTACACCAGGACTTGGGAAGAGTACTGTTGCATCGGCACACGTCGATGCAAAGGGAAGTATTCGCCTGAGGGGTGCTTCCAATGGAGGTGGAGCAACCAAAACCCTAGCAAGGAGTCTGGATAGTCGAAGAAATAGTTTCGCTTCTAAGAAAGGCGCTCCTGTCACAACTTTACCACGTGGAGAATCATCAGGCGGTGATAATGTGGTGCCTGCGGAAGGAGATCTGGGTGATCAAGCTCGCAGGGAGGAAGCACCCATTTTTGATGAGGTTCGCAGAGACCTATTATCTGGACCCTCGAATTTGACATGATGTGATTTTATAACTTTCCACGCTGCACATTTCTCGCGCTTGATATGTGTAGACTGATTATTTTGCTGGGAAACTAGGGCTTGGGACGCCAGGGGAAAGATACGAATTCTGGCCCTCCGGGAGCCGCCATTCGAAACGATGATATGTCGAGAAGCAGCCCATTGCCCTCTCCACGCACTCCATCCGGTACGCGGTCATTTAAACCGCGTCCATGGGAGAGATTGTTCTCCCTGGAATATCGGTCTGATAGTCCGGGAAAGCGGTAACTAATGAAGCTGAGCGGGATAGGTGAGAGTCTCATAAGTTCTGATGTTTGGGGGAAGCCTTCATCTTGCTCCTTTGCTTACACTTTTACAACAGCATCTCAGTTTTATTGTTCTTGCATTGTTATGTCCTCTTTTTACCATTTTTCTCTCATTTAGGGGGGGTTTATGCGGCGATGATACCCATCTATATACCTTCGATACTCCAGTCGCTCCATTTGATTGCATAGAAGCTGACTATCGTTTTTTTTGATGCGTATTCTCACTGTTATATTCTGATATTAATTCCACACTCTGGTGCATCAACGAGGCATTGGATGGTTTTGGTGCCTTTATCTATTAATTCTGGGCAAGCCTGGGCGTATATGTATATAGAAGTCTAGGGCATCGTACTATGATGTTATGCTTTCGCAGCTTATGGATACGGTGTAGCAATTTTGAGGCCACAATATTAGATTCTGATATCGCTATCCAGTCCTGTAGAAATGCCAGAATAAGCAAACTCCTGCCCATGCAATTAGGTATCATGCAAAGTAAACCAAGTCAATTCATAAAGATTCGTTATGAAGGCCCCCCTGGCCGCGTATTACTGCCTCATCGTTCTTCGGCTTTTGATTCCAGCGCACTAGGGCCGCCCAAGCCCTCCAAGCTTCCCAAACCCTTCATAAACTCTTCCGCTCTCCTCTTTCCTCTCAGTTCCTCAATCTTCTTTAATCTATCAGCTTTCGCCTTCTGCCTCGCCTCTTTCCTCGTAGCGGCCTGGCTTCTCCCTTTCACGGTATCATCTCTTGCCTGCATCAGTTCTTCCATTTCTTGCTTCCGCGCCTCCTCGTCTTTTGAAAACGCATAAAACCCCGTTCCGCGATTGCGCACCTCGCCCTCTGCGTCGTAATGGGTCTCAGGCGGTGGTGTGGGTGTTCGATCACGACGTTCTGCGAGGCGAGACATCTGCGCTGCGACGTTGGCATCAGGATCGAAAGCTGCAGACTGGATGATCGAGCCGTGGATTAGATTTGCAGGACGAGAGGGACGAGAGCCCATAGGTAAATTCGGATTGCGAGATGATGCGATCGACTCTTGTTCGGAGCGCTCAGCGGCACGAGACCGACGAAGTCGTTCTGCTTCCGCAGCTTCACCACGGGTACCCTGCCTGGTGCGTCCGAACTCGTCCTCGTATTCAACCAAGGGTTCTTTTTCAGATTCATGGTCGGATTCTCCGGAATCATAACGTGATTTCCTGACTTCTTCCTCCGCCCACTTTCGATCAAAGTCCACCAAGCTATTTTTTTCTGCGCGACGGACCGCGGACAAAGGTCTCCCTAGGGAATCGTCATCCTCCTCGTCGCTACTTGCAGCGAGATATTCGCCCTTTTTTAACTCTGCATACAGCTTTGCTTTTTCGGCCATCCTGCGCTTCGACCGATGAAGGGTAGCTTCGTCGACGAATCCGATATCTCCACTCTGTTTGTGAACTTGGCTCACGTTCGGATTATCCGAGGATATATCCGCCGCGGCGCGTTTTAGAGCACCTTTATTATGCACTGAGAAAATGTCATCTTTCTTTCTTGAAGGCCTAGCACGGCCGCGCCGCGATTGTGAGGATGCGTTGGCCGATTCTTTAGCTATGAGGGAGGAGAGGTGTGTGGCGAATGCAAGGGTACCGGGTGATGTGACATCCTTTTTAGATGCCTCAGCTTTTGGTCGGCGTATCCCGTAGAGCGAAGAGTCCGTTGGCATTTTGATCAGAGCAGCAGACACAATCTTGTGTGTCGCAGCGAGAAAGCGGCGTCGTGAAGCTCTATCGTCATGCCTCGAGCCAGATGCTGACTAAGCGGCAAGGTCGTTTGGCCGACGATGCAACTGGGCTTGTCGAGGTTCACGAACGCGAGGACGTTGACTACGGAGTACATTCGCTGCGATCCAGCGTCTGTGTCAATTGCTGATGGTCCTGCAGCTAGTTCTCGGGACTCAAGGAATGCTTCTGACCTGGGCTTCATAGAATGCCAATCCTCGAACACAGGCAGGCGTAGAACTGCACTCGTTCCTGCGCCCAGCATGGAGTAGCATGCTCCAGACCAGGCTCGCAATGCCATAGCCAGTTTCTACGGGGTATGGAGTACGGAGTAAAGGGCACGGATTACAACGCGAGGATGTCGACAGCTTTGTGGTGCCATCGTCTTTAGCTGTTAACGGCTCACTAAGTAGCCATCCATAGGGTTGTAGCATAAAAGATATGCCTGTGTTTGATGATGAAACTCGAGTTTACAGGCAGTGAAAACTCACACCTGGCGTCTCTCTGCGCTTTCTTGCTCGAAATACTGACTTGTGGCCAGAAAATGACCAGTAACTAATGTGGTGGAAGCTGGGCCGGGAAGCTCCCAAATTATCGCTGCCATTTGACCCGCCAGAAGGTTTGCCCCGCAGCACTTCAGAGATCCGATAACGCAATCCAGAAATCGACCAACATTTCTTTGCTTTCAATCGCCTGTGTCCTTTCAATTCTCTTTCTTCTCTACCTTCTTTAGGAAATCATTTCCCGCAACCTGTAATTCAATTGACCTCTTAGCCATGTCAAACAAAGTCTACTTGGGAGTCATCGGTTCGTCGACTCTCCCCAACCCTGCTCCGTGAACGACCACATACTGACCTCTACTACAACCTGCAGGTGTCGGTGGCGTCGGAACTCATTTCCTCTCTCAGCTGTCCCGTCTACAAAATGCCCCGTCTCTCGCTCTCCTTGCCCGTTCTTCCCAAACTATCACTTCACCCACCCCATCCTACAGCCCCGCAATCCCTGCCGCGGATTGGCAATGTGCCGGTTCCTCTGCATCGCTCATCAAATCCGGTGCCTGGACTCCTGAAGAGATAGCTACTTACCTCTCGCAAGCACCTGGCCGTGCCGTCCTGGTCGACAATACCTCTGATCCCACGCTTGCCAGCGCCTACCCGCTTTTCCTTAGCAAAGGAATCAGCATCGTGACCCCTAACAAGAAGGCATTCTCATCCTCCTTACAGCTATGGAAGGATATCTTCTCCGCGGCCTCGACGGGAAATGCCTTCGTCTACCATGAGAGCACGGTCGGCGCCGGGCTTCCGGTAATTTCTACCCTACGCGACCTTGTGGCCACAGGTGACCAAGTGACACGCATCGAGGGCGTCTTCTCAGGCACTTTATCCTTCCTCTTCAATCAATTCGCCCCTGTCTCGCCATCTTTGTCCTCTCCTCCTCAGAAATGGAGCCAGGTTGTTGCCCAGGCCAAGGAATTGGGCTACACTGAACCCGATCCCCGCGACGACCTCAACGGCATGGATGTGGCTCGTAAGCTAACCATTCTCGCGCGCATTGCTGGCTTGGATGTCGAAAGCCCTGAGACTTTCCCCGTTGAGAGTTTGATCCCAACCGAACTCGCAAGTCTACCCTCTAGCAATGAGGGAGCAGCCCAGTTCATGAGCAAACTAAGTGGATTCGACGATAAGATGGAAGAAATCAAGAACAGCGCTGAAGCCGAAGGCAAGGTTGTACGATATGTGGGCAGCATCGACGTCATTGGAAAGAAGGTCAAGGTTGGACTTGAGAAATTTGATAAGGGAAGCCCGATTGCTGGCCTGAAGGGAAGTGACAATATCATTAGTTTCTATACTGAGAGATATGGTGAGCAACCTCTTATTGTCCAGGGTGCCGGTGCCGGCGGTGCTGTAACGGCAATGGGTGTCTCAGCAGATTTGATCAAGGTTCTGGAGCGACTGAGATAGGCGCCTTGGCCTATTCATCTCAACGCCGGCTGGTGGTTTGACCGGGAAGTTTTTAAACTGAAGATAAAAACCACACCCACTAAAGTATAGGGAGCGATAAAGATCCTGAAGGAAGTTTCTAATTACCATTGCGGAGTATATAAGTACCATTACAGAATCTGTCATAATTAAAGTCCCTGATTGACAATTGGACACACCTGTAGCGGGTTTCCGTTTTCCATGGAATGAGCTTTTAACCTCGAAGCATCAAACAAGACGCTCCATATGATACTTAAATCTGTGCCAGACTAACTTCTTAAATACGCCTTGACAGCCTCTCCCCATGCTGGGACGCGCTTATATCGGCCGATCAATGGTGTACTTCCAGCCTCAAATCCATCAATGGCAGCCGCCAAATCCTCTCCGGACCCCTCCTCCTTAATTTGTTGGATTGGGTAGCGGTATGTATGGAACGAGAACACTAATGCCCCTGATGTAGGCAGACGATAGAGACTCTGTCTCTCGCAGCGCAAGAATGTCTTAAGAAATTTTGCAATGTTAGCTTGACCTTTAACCCCCCCCAATATATGCCGAGGACTAGAAGAATAAAAGCGGAAACAGAACAGACGTAACTCACATTATTCAAATCAAGATCCTCAACCTTCAAGGGTGTCATATCCTCTCCATCTCCAGCATGAATACCGCCAAAGGCCGAAAATAAATCCGCATCCGTAGTCATAGTCCAGTTCAACCGCTTCACAAACTTGCCCACTTCCAATTTATCAAAAAATCGATCCATACTCTTCTCCAGCTTCTGTTTATATCCAGGCACAGGATCATGTATTTCACTGAGCTTCCTCCCGAGTTTCGTCCGTGTATCGAAACCAGAAGGGAAACATGTTGCATACGCCTCAAGGACATATTTATTCTCGTCATCAGGCGATGGGGGATCAGATCCTTCCTTCTCACCACGTCCTTGTCCATATTTCTGGTTCTTGTTCTCCGAATTCGACTCTTTGATTTCGGGTAATAGGATCAACATCTCTTCATCCACAGTCTTCGCTAAGGTCTCCAGCGCCATGATTGTGGGTCTACCAGGACTCAATGTCGTAGGCAGCATTTCTCTTGTAATTTGATTCTGAACAAGCATTGTCTTTCCTGACTCGAAATTAGCTTCTAAAAGCTTGAACATCTTCGGGTATCTAGTTGGCAAATAGTTTCCTAAAACGAATTGATAGAGTTCTCCCACAGCAGCGCGAACCCGAGGATCTTCTTCGCCTAACTTGTTCTTATTGACGCCTAGAACGACATCGTAATGATCCTTAAGCAATTGTCGACGGATATCAATTCGCTCTTTATATGTGTTATCCATGGGGATAAGTTCACTTGGGTCGAGGTTTTCAAGTGCTGTGGGATCCGTTAGCTCCCGGTATGTCAACATGTACTTGGATTCCCAGCCTGACATCATGTACTTACCCATTGTCAGATGGTATTTCGGCTTAAACGGTCTAAACTGCAACGGTTCCGTTTTCTCCCACTCAAAATCTTCTAGCGGCTCAATTTCCGGAAACTTGGATGCGCTCTGGGAGCGCATCTTTTGCAATTTCTTCGCATGTTGCTATTTCAATTCTTTAGCTCTAGTGGACGCGAACGATTTGGAGCTTGACGGGGGCTGACAGCTTTGACATACCACGTTTACCCATTTTCGGTACCATATCATCGACAGCAGCCCCACGAACATCAAGATATTGAACGGCTTCACCTGGGATGAGTCGACGAGCGCCTTGATCTTCACCCAGTAAGGCATGACGTCCAAGCCGGCCATGGTTGTTTGGCTCATCGTGGTAAACTATAATGACCTTCAACGGCTGTATTCTGCGAAATCCTCAAAAGGCCTTTGTCTTGTCCCCAGAGGACGACTAATAGGCGCCAGGAAGAGACCAAGTGGCCTCTAGAGAAAGATAAAGAAAAAAAGGACTCTATGCTCCGTATTGCGCTCAGAAAATAAAGATGAAAGATGCAGGATATCTCAAATTCTTAAATCAAGATGAATGCGCCGCGCCTTGCATGGGAAGTCAGCCCCGAAGCGCGTCGTATTTCTCCGCATGACCAAAAACGGGAATTTGAGAGATGCTCACCACCTCAACGAACGCATATATCAGCATCGCACTTCGTACATTGACAGATATCACTGAATATCCCAGATTATTTGGAAAAAAAAGAAGAAATCCAGTAACGAAGAGAAATATTCCTGTCGCTTTAGATGCCGGCAACGGTTTGAAAAATCCACGATGCGGAGAAAACACGTCTCGACTGTGGGGTAAGCTCGGCTTTGGCAGCTAATAAGCTTAACTGGAAACAGGGTACAAGGCCAGGCCAAGCTTAACTAAAGCCCAGGCCCCTCTGTGAAGTCCGAGGCGCCTTATGGAAATATCAACGGGGGTGGTGCCGTGGTTCACAAAAAGGGAGAAATTCCTGGATACATTCACCATTTCCTTCCCTCGTACATAACTACGCCGTAGGAGAGTTCATAAATCGCGCATATTAAGCTTGAACCATTCTTTATCTCCATAATGGACCCAAATACCTGTGGCGTCGAGAAAGCCAAACGATGCCCAATATCCCTCAGCAACAAAGAACATATATGGTCCTTTCCACGATGACTTTGTGACTTGAAACTGATATCTAAGAGTAAGAGGTTATGTCAAGAGAAGATAAGGCGCCCTAGAGGGGAGAATCAAGAAGGAAGGCTAAGTGCGAATCATACAGGTAACTAAGGAGGGGGGGGGTTCCTTGACGAGCAATAAGGTAAAATTTGACACAATGTCACCCAGTTGTAAAGTTTTGGGAGAGCTTTAAATTTCCACGCTTCATTATTTTGAGATGAGGCCTAGATCCTCCGGCATGTCATAATTTAGACCCGCTCGCCCACAGAAAATAGAAGAAAATAATTAAAAGATAATTAAATGGGCTCTTGTTTATCAGCGCCTCAAGCCAACCGAAAGATTGTGCCGTAATCTAGGGGGGGAAAAAAAAAAGCCTGAAAACAGAATTCGAACAAGACCTATCACGCCGGCAATGACACACAGTCAAACCAGCACACTCCTCCAGAAGCAATGTCGACCATGCTGTAGGAATAATATGAAAACGCAAACGCGGCTCGAGTGCAGATTTGACTCAGCGTCCAGATTTCTTGAATCCGCCCTCTTCAACAACCCTCGTTGCACCCAAGTGTTCAAAAAGAAGCTGCAGCTTTGCCCGTCTTAATCGGCCCGAGCTTACAATACCAGCATGAATCCCCGAAGACGCTAGTATATTAAGAAGCGACCGCATATCATGTGGAATCTTATAATCTTGAAGGATACGATCAATTTGTGTTGCTGATATCACCAAACCGGGTCAGAACTTCGCATCAAACACGGAACAGGCAGGAAACATCAATAGACCTAGGCATATCTTACAGTCCAACAACTTGATCTCCTCAATTGTTTTTGGCGTCTGAAAGTCGACCGGAAACCTCCCGTCTGTGTGCATCATCGGATGCACCAACGAAACATGTGACCGCGGATTGACGTTATGGTTTGCCAACGAGACCGCCAAATTAGTCCTTCGCACTAGCTCTTGCGTGGTATTCGCGCCATAATTGGTGTAAAGCGCCATCTCGTTGTGCTGGTGCTGGGGGGAATAATTCATTGGCATAGCTGGAGGGTTGTGGTGACTGTGTGCGTAACTAGCATAATCTTGTCCTTGAATTCCATACTGAGCTTGTTGGAGGGCAACATCAAAATCCCGAGAGGGCATGGTGCGAGGACTGACGCCATATGGCACGCTGGAAAGTGTAGATCGATATCTTTCATCTCTAGGAAGCATGTTCGCTATGGTTGGCGATCTAAGGTGGTTAGTTTCGTCTATATATCTCTTCAGGGTAAACTCTAATGTATAATGATCGAAAACAGTCGTGTCTGCAGAAGAACCAAAGGCTAAATATCAAAGTCAAATCGAGTGGGAGCTTCTAGGGAAATTGCTGTGAGTTAATATCTATTTCCGATGCTCGCTCTGCCTCGGTCAAGCACGATGCGGGATAACGGGTATGTAGATTCTCCGGGATGAACATCAGGCGGCAATTGACTTGTCAAGGGCCATGGCTTGGTTCTGCGGCAAGTGCTGAACCAGGGCTACCGGGTACTTGCAGAGAAGCAGGCCAGAGGCGGAATTTCCGGGGCAAAATCCGGGTGCGGTCAATATTCCACCGGAGGGCCTGAGAGTTGGTCGTGTCCGCAGTGGGCTTTGGACGAGGAACCCACACGTGTTGGAATCTCGGACTGCGGAATCCGAACATAGTGGCATCCAGGTGTAGTATTGTTGGTCGCATCGGTCGGATTAGGTCACATTTTCTTGTCATCTGAGCCGTCTGCTTCGTTGTACGAATTCTGAGGTTGGGCAGCCCATTATTTGTAAATTTGGGGGGTGAAAACCATTTTCTTCAAGTGGCAACTATAGGCATGCATAATGCAAGGAGACATAAGCGGCATCAGCGAAGGCAAATAAGTGGACATATTTCGCATAGATCTGATGGAAGCTGATAAGCTGTACGCAACGACAAGTAATAGATCGATTGCTCGACGGGTCATCAGGACAGGATATTTAGAAATAGTGTAACGCCTGCAAACAGGACCGGTATTGAGAACCAGATACGCAGAGGAACACTCAGAAAATATCCTATATTTGTTAGAATACGTGTAAAAGGGAGCCATAGAATCTCTAGCCTTGATAATTAAGATCCTGACTGCGAGAAAGCGCACTTAATAGTAATCCACGTCTGCCGAGGAAACATGGCCCATTTCGAATCGCATAAGCTTCTAGAAATTCCGGATTCGTAACGAACCAAGGCAACTAGGTCTCGGCTGGCTGCATATCGCAAACATATGGTGAGGTTTGCGGAAGAGGGGATGGAAAGATGTGGGATGGTGTGGGACAATATGGTCAGCTCGAAGGGACAACGGTTTGAAATTTAGAGATCCCGATCCTTGCTTGTCCTCGTGGCATTTCAGAAGGGATACACGGGCTGGATACTGATATCATCGTGCCGAGTGCCGTGTCTTTGCGGCCATTCTCAAAACACTGCGCTTATTAGCCTGTTTTCCTTTTCTTCACTTCTCCCGCGTAATGGATGCAGCTACCATTCCCAGTAGGGCTAGCCTCATTTTCGGTCATGCCCTCGCTCGAAAGCGAAAGCTCCAAAGAAGAAACAGAAGTATTTCCGCGATCATCCAACCGTGTCCCCTTCCCTCCATCAGACGTCGTACCCGTTAAACTAAACGCTCTCTGCCTTCCACTTGGCCGCTCACTCAGACTGGGCACAACAGGTCTATGTCGACCTCTTGCCCGGCCTCCAATAACGGGAATTTCATACGTGGTCGCGCGCCATATATACAGGAGGATATCATACACAATGAAGAAGGCCCAGGGAACGATGGTCAAGGTGCCAAGGATGATCTATGCACAAACGCACGCTCTCAGTTGAGAGAGCAAGGCCCAGGTTAGCATTTGTTCCGCTCAAACTGAGGGAAGTGGGATGGACGGAAAACAAATAATCGGGGGTCATCCTTACAAAAAAGCGAATGAGCCATCCCTCGAAGGCCGTGAGTTCCGCTGGGAGAAGAGAATACCAGGTCATCCTCTCTGACTTCAGCCAGTAACAGTTGAATTCAGCTCTTTCCCATGCCGTGGACCGTTACCTGGCGTTCTCCTCTTCTCTCACCGAAGAACAACTGTTTCAGGTTATTAAGAAATTAACAGCAATAGGGGAGTCTAATATCAAAGGTATAAACTAGTTCACTTGAAAACAATGATGTAACTTCCATTCCAAAAAAACCATCTGTGTCACGGCAATAAGTGTGTAACCTTTAGGTATAGTACAACAAGGGAGCATTCACAGGTGCAACTGGTAAATATCACTTGAGAAGTGGAAACAGGCGGATATGCCACAGCTGAGAGTCAAAAATAGTGACCTATAGACAGCCCCTGCAACCTACACTAGTCACTGAGTGCGGAGTTGCACTATCTTCTCACTGCCATCTCAGCCATGCGGTGGGAAAGAAAGAAAGCAGGTGTCGTGCGGAGTTTGGTGAAGTTGGGAGGTGCCTGGTAGCTCGATCAGGTGATCGGCATCCTCGATTATCCACTTCGGGTGCAGCTCCTGGAACCTTTTGCCGACCCGCTGAGCCACCTGATAACGAACAGAGACGCGTTTTCAGATATATTTCAAGTCTATTTACTGGAAGACAAGTAAAAGAGAATAAAGTATGCGCTGTCCTAGCACACATGTATATTTATTCGTCTAAAATCAAAAGAGGCACATTTCCAACGAATATTCCCCACAAGAAGCGCTATACACAAAAAAGCGGCACCCGTTTACAGCAGGGTATATACTTATAAGCATCCTGTATCTATGACTCCACCGTCCATATTTCCCGAAAAATGCATATAGTTCCAAAACTTACAGAGAGAATGAAAAAAGCAAGCCCGCTAGCGAGACCGATATGGCTCGTACGGGGACGGACTGCGGTATGGAGTGTATGCTGTCGATCCTTCCGACGGCCACCTATCAACGACGTCTGTCGAATTCCGCATTGGTTGTCCTTGAGAGTTATTCAGGAGGTTTCTTTCGCTTTCGTTGGATTGCTTGTAAAATGTAGACGCACCCAAGTCCGTGGACTGGAACGCTGGGTGGTCTGATATGTTCGGGTAGCGTCCGTGAGGCCCGTTGAAGGTCACGGAACGGTTTGATGGCGCAGGTGAACTTGGTCGAGAGGATGATGGGGATCCATTCCCGGTAAAGAAGCTCTTCGGCGTATGAGACCGCTCGGTAATCAGGTCGTCCGGCCTTCCATAGATACCGCCACCGAATTCTTCCCGGAAATCAGGGCGGTCTTTGAAGTAGGAGAAATCCAATTGATTCTCCGCCACAACCTCAAACGGCGCTTCATGGTTCTCTGAAGCTTTTCCGGGTTCAGTTGCGGACATCCTATGCATTGCAATATCGGAATAATCGCTAGTGCTAGCGTTTAGTCCTTGGCGATCCTGGAACAGTTTCTCGAGCGCATCGGCGGCCTTTGCATGGACCATAGGCGTCGTAAGAGGTTTGTAAAGTGCAGGATGGCCAAACCTCGAGCTTAAGCGCTCCGCAGCCTTCTTCCCTGTTTTGCCATCGGCCGAAGATTCTGGATCTGACAGGATCGCGCGATGATAATACAATAGCTCGTCATCGAATGTATTCCTGCAATACCATTTGAACCCTAGTAATAAGACCGGAAGCGGAACCAGCGCGAAAACCATGTTCCACGAGCCTTTCGCCTTGACCACCAATCCAAGGATGAAGTTGGCGAGTATAAGGGCAAATATCATGCGGTTGAAAATGGCACGCCAGAAACGACCCCCCGATTCCGTTTTGGTAATGAAAACATATAGCAGGAGATACTTTTTCAGCCACGAATCCACTGCAAAGTAGAGAGCCGTGACAGGAAGCACAATAGGTTGCAAGGATGCAAAACAAAACGCGATCGTCGTGTAGAACAAGAAGTAATTGAAATAACTGGCATAATCGAATGGAGGGGGGGCGGTCCATTCAATGGCCCTTCTCGGTGTAGGGCTAAGGAACCTCCTGGCAATAAACGTCCATACCATATTGATGAGTTGCATGAGGTCAACTGCAGCACCCAAATTTCTCTGAAGCAGCCAGGTCACCCAAAACGGTGACACCTTGCATAACGCCGTCATGACGTTTACGTAAAAGGCTCCAGAAGAGATGGCTTCCCAGGCGTCCTTGTTATTCTTCGCTTCCTGAATAACAGTGGCCACAAACGCCCATATCGCAGAAAATACCGAAAAGACGATCAGGTTGTTGAATATAAAGAAGGCATATAGACTATGAAGAACATGGCGCTCTCTAGCACTTTTGGTAGACTTTCCAGCACGGGTTGCAAGGCGGCGGAATATAATAGGAAGAACGAGGTAGACTAAGGATGTGATGGCAGGGGATGCTATACCCTGGATAGCCGACCAGACCTTCGGATTCCTATCTAGGGATCTTCTAAAAGCTGGCCAGACCAAACCTAGGTGAGATAGATCGGCCAAGAAGAGGGCGATCATGGCGTTAGGTGCAATCCAAACAACCGTCAAGATTGTCGACCAAACAATGTTCATAAACCGTTTCCTCCGCAGATCTGCCTTACTCAGAGCCAAATTTTCCCAGATAATGTCATTAGGCCTTGGGGCCAATGTGATATTGGTTCCCTGCGGATGTTTCTTCCTCGCGGCGAAGGCCACCACGTGGGCATTTTCAATGGACTCCCAGCTAGCAAAACCGTATGACATAGCGTTTCGTTTATCGATCGACTCCCTAACATGTCTAATTTCCGCCTCCAGCGTTCGAATTCGAACCGTATAGTAGTCGATAGCGTCGACTTTCTCAGGAGTATTCTCCCCTCTGAAACCCTTTATCGGCTTGCAAGTGGGGCGTTTCGGTGGGAGTCGATCGGGATTCTTGAAATATTTTGCCAGGATTTCCTCAAGTTCTTTCACCACTCTTTCGTGCTCATTGATCAAATCCGGAAGCTCTTTCACATTTCGACCGATTGACGCTCGAGGTATGGAAGCCGTCGGGTTCACTTGATCTGTCAAACGTAGCAACCCTTCATCGGTCCTATACGCCGCAGGAATATGGGTCACCATGACCGTTCTCGCATGCAAGCTCTGCTGGAAGTCCGTGCTCATAAAGTATTGTCTTCTTAATCTGCACATTGCTCGGTAGTTGTGCCAAAGGAAATACGCAGCGATGGCATCGATGCCCCAGGCACAGGCAATATGACCCCAAAGGACTTTCTGATCAGTCACATACATCGGTGTCATTGTCGTGAAGGTTGACAGCCCTTTTATGTTGTGACCACCACTTCCGGTAACGTTGATGGGAATCATGATTGCGCATCCGATCAAGCTCAGCACAAGGAAAATGTTTCGGCACATCCGAGTAAACCGCAGAAATACCGTCGCATCCAGCCCGACTTTATCCAGCATCTCACCCTCCTTGGTTTTTATAATCGGCGTTACCCAAGCGAACATCCCCTTTCCCAACGGCGGAGGCGCATGCTTCCGGTCAGCATGTTTCAACTTTGGCGCATAAACCACCGAGTTTCGAGGCCGAAAGAGAGAGAAGAGAAGCGCAAGGCCAAACGTAACACCCAGCGACGTTCCTAAAGAAGCCCAGAACGCACGTTCTTGGAACTAGACAAGGGGTAGAACTGTCAGTACATGTTGCCCCCCTTAACAAAGTTTCTTCTCGGGTTCCTGGCGCGAGAACCAGAAATGCGACAAACTTACCGCCGACTGGAAAGGGTCCTGGAGCAACTCCAAAAATTTGTCCGTAGGAGAGGAACCGCCAGGGTCCTGCCTGGAAATTATTCTCTCCATCTCCGAGAACAGTCCTAATCCGCTTCGCAGCGCCCTAGCTGAATGTTCGCCGTCCGTGAAGCAATACCAAATTGCACATTCAGTTCAACACATCAGATCAACATTGCCAGGGACCTATTTCTGTCTGACTGTTTGGTAACGCTGCGAAGTGGTGGAAGGGCGGATTTTCTGATGGGAGTGCGGGCGTGGTAAGGCCGTAAAAATGACTGGTCGCGGCGGAATAGAAGAGAATGTTAGTGAAAAAGAAATAACAGTGAAATGATTGTTTCCCTTCTTGTCCTTCTTGAAACGAAAACACGCAAAAGCTATTAATAGCTCGAAGAGTGACAGGATTTCTTGCACGAGTGTGGGGAGAAGATCTGGCGATCGATGACGATCGAGAACAAAGGACTGGAACGAGTGACTTTTCGGCAGACTGTAAAAAAAAGTGATGGCAAGGGAATGACTAGTTAGTTATCTCATCCGGCCCTCCGGTGGTCTCTCGGTTGCTTGATAGGAAACACACGAAGGATGGAAATCGTAACTATCGCCGGAGAAGAGCGGAAGAGGGGGCTGCCAACTCACACTCACTCCATTATTAACTACCTTTGAGCCCCATGCAGAAGCGAATTAACCCAAGGAGACTTCCTCCGTTTCTGCCCCCGGAAAGAGATAAGTATAACTCTCACCCAGGAGGGCAAGCCAGAGAGGTCTACGTAAGAGCACTGGCACTATTTAACTAACGCAACGCAGCCCACTCTGGCATAAAATCGCCAAACAGGGGGTCCAGAACTGGCGCTATGCCCGTCGCCATCCATCGCGTGAGGATCGAGGCCCTGGTTTGCTCTTGGGTGACCGACCCACCTGGTCTCATCAGCCCATGGGTTCACCACAATTTCAACAACCAGAACGACGGTGTAGAAAGGCAAAATGGACGAAAAGAATGGGGAAAATTAAATTTAATGCCTTGTTCTGTGGACAGCAGCGTTTCTATTTTTTCGTTTTTTTTCTCGTCCCTCGTTCGCTTTTCCTGGAATCCCACCGCGCCAAAACGCCCTTGGTAGAAAACGGATCCCTCAGCGGAATCCAGGGATGGGCTGTCATTGGCGACGATTCACCTGCAAGAATGGGCGCTAGGCCGTCGCCTTGGCTGGTTGGCTGGACTTGGAACTGGATGGGTCTTGTCTTGGGTGGCTGATGGCAAGCTTTTTTCTTTTTTTCTTCTCTCTGTTAATTTCAATTTGCTCCAGACGGTCCTACAGTAAAGCCTCTATATAACGATCACTTTACATAACGAATCCTCTACATGACGGACGAAAATCTCTTCCAAGATTAAATCTCCATACAAAATATTCGTTAACCTGTATACTACAAGATTCATTGAATATCTCTCAAGATTTCTTAATATATCATTATAAAAAGGCCAAAAAAGACCAAAATGCCCCACCGAACCACAATTTCGATTGGGCAGAAGAAATTCCGCTCCCACAAGGCTCTTAATCCTTCTCTCTCCAACAAGGCCTTGATGACATGGTTAAAAAACTTTGCTTGTGTGAAGAGCGGCAGGATAAGGGAGATACAGAGCTAATTCAACAGTTAAATTGTTATGAGAGAAGATTAGGGGCTCGG